ATGGCTTAAATATATTTGTTTAATTAATTTAATTAAGTTAACGGGATACGTCTCGCTTGAATAAGCCGTAAAAAGTCCTCTAGAACTATAAAATCCTGACGTATCGCTACGAGCAATCGCTCTTAGTCTCTTGCCCGTCACTAACCACCTCGCCCGTCGCCCGTGCACTACCCTCCGGTGGCGACGTTTAAGCGGCGCGACGCAATCTGGCAGGTTATGCTCGTCGACGGCCAACCAGTTCACGCTGACGATCTTCTGAACGAGAGCGGCCCCTGTCGTTCATCCACAACGACTTGCTGACAGCATTGTGGCAGGGATCATACACATACCACGCGCTGGAGCTATCGGCAGCCCACACCGCACCGTGCACACGGACAGATACTGGCCCGCAAAGGACTGCCCGCACACCTTGCTCACATGGTGGGTGAGTCGCAGGTGAAGGTCGGCTGGTGCAGGTCGGCTGGGTGAAGTTGGCGGGTGCAAGGTCATAAGTTTAGGAAGTGATCCTGAGCCATGACACAGACACAGACACATGTACGACATTTGCTTATATAGATGTGTGTGTATATATATATATAAACATACATGGATGTTATGGTGACATGCTATACCTGAGTGACGAAGCTTTGTCTCATCGGCCGTTCTTGTGGTTTAGGCGTTGTGAGCTCGCATGCTTGGATCCACAGCTGCGAGCGGCCGCCTACAAGCCTACTGTGTGCCTCACCGCGACCTTTGACTCTGAAGAGTCGAAGGCCACTCTTGGAGACGTCGGGTAAACTGCAATTCTTCGATCATGCGCCTCGTGAAATCTTTTCCGTTATGCTGGGCCTCCATTCACTGAGACAAGGTTTTGATTGCACAATTGTTCTGATGATCCGTACCGTGCAGATACCTATGCTAACTTTTTATAGCAATAATTTTATCAGCTAATACTACATTTTTTTAAATACACACGTTTCAGCAAATCAGCCACCTATTAATAAAGAGTTGATTGTTAACATTAAATAAGAGAAATGAAATAAGGATGATAAATGAACATAAACATAGACAAAAAAATAAACATGCCACACACCAACATACTCAGCAAACACACACGGACGAGATGCATTCACATGCACACGCACACGGCACACCGCACACAGCATACGTTTAACCTCTCTCGTTCTCAGGACTGTGTATTCCAACAACAACAGCGATCTCATCAAAGACGATAGTGAGAAGCTGGCGGCTAACGAGACCACACCTAACGCTTTAGTTCTCGAGAGTGCATACAGGGCTCCGTAACTCTCACATAGAGCTGAACACCTCGTGCGCTTGAGTACATGACTCCTGGCTGCCAAACCTCACAGGTATGTACAGTAAGCTGAGTTAATCTATCAGCTACTAACTGAGATAATTAAGACAACTCTTACTGAAACACGCTGTCGGCCTGAGTACATAACCCCCTGGGTGCCAAACCTCACCAGGTAGGAGACTAATAGCTGAGTTAATTAACTAACTAATAATTGACTAAGAGATGATTAACTAGACTAGACAACCCTTGCTAAAACATTGTGTAGTCTGTCCACAACCTCAACCAGGTAGCCTAATAGTAGCTAACTACATGATTACTAAGGGATGATTAACTAAGACAGCTCTCACTGAAACACCTGTGACGCGCGCGTTATTGCGACGCATTACAGATTTGTGACGCAGTCAGACAATGCAAGCATCCCCCGTAACGCCCCTGAACCGAAACGCTAACTCACGCCCGTGTTGCTTTGCCGGTCAGATCTCGTGAAGCCTCAGACGAAGCGAAGAAGCAGCGAGTGTCGCTCATCCCGACAAGCTGATCACCAATGACGATAGACGAGTGGGAGATGTATCCGTCGATGACAGGCGAAGATCTGGGGCAGTACACGACAGTCCCGACCTCATCGACATGGTGCTCGACAGCTTCATCAAGGTCAGTCCAAGGTCACCGCCGCAAGTCGGCTGATCGTCTTGCGGGTTTTGTGTCACTCACCGCACGAACCACTAAACTAAAGTGTAACCTATTGTCATTAAAGTCAGGAAAACGTCGCGCCCGGTCGTAAAACGTTAGTGTTTGCCGAGGCTCCGTCATCGGGTAAGGCAGCGTAACGAAGATCAGGGACGGGAATCGGTCACGCATGACGACACCTGCTCATCGCCTCACTCTCTTCTTTCATCGTCTTCACCCCTCTCCATCTCACCTCCTCTGCATTCCTCACTTCCTGATCTCTCTCTCCTCTCTCTCTCTCTCTCTCTCTCTCACTCTCTCCTCTCCTCCCCCCCCCCCCCCCCCCCCCCCCCCCTCCTCTCTCTCTCTCTCTCTCTCTCTCCTCTCTCTCTCTCTCTTCTCTCTCTCTCTCCATCCTCGCCTCTCTCTGATTTCCTCACTTCTCTATCCTTCTCTCTCTCTCTCTCTTCTCCTCTCCTCTCTTCTCTCTCGTCCCTCACCTCTCTCTCTCTCTCTCTCATCCTCTCCTCTCTCTGCTCTCATCCTTCACTCTCTATCTCTCCTTTCTCCATCTCCTCTCTCTCTCTTCGTCCCTCACCTCTCTCTCTCTCTCTCTCTCTCCAATCCTCCCTCTCTTTTCTGCTCTCGCATCCCTCTCCCTCTCTCCATCCCAACCTCTGCTCTCTCTCCCTCTCCTGCCATCACTCTCTTTTTTCTCTCTCATCCCTCTCCCTCTCTCGTCCCTCACCTCTCTGCTTCTCTGCATCTCTCCGCAGGCGAGCGTCAATGCGCGGCTGGGGCCGTGCAGGCGGAGATCATGGCCGACTACGCAGTGGCGGCTTGGCGTCTGCCACGTGCAGCTGTCGCACGCAGGTATCTTCCCATGTGCCGGCTCATCGACAAGACGTGCATGTCGCCGACGGCCGTGCTCGAGCAACACCTGCATGGGACGACATCGCTATCTAGCTCGCCTACCTGCACATGCTTAATCCTTCACAACTGTTACTGCCTAGATGGTAGGTACTGCTGCTGCTGCTGCTGCTGCTGGTGGTGTGTGTGTGTGTGTGCGTGCGTGCGTGCGGCCGTGCGCTCGTGTGCGTGTGTCAATCATGCAGGGGCGAACTCGGCGTGTGTTCGGGGCTTTGCTCACCTGTAATAATCGGTGCGCGTGCGTGCGTGTATGCATGAGTACGTGTACATGCGTCCGTGCGTCCGTGCGCTCGTGTGCGTGTATGAATCATGCAGGGGTGAACCTGGCGTGTGTTCGGGGCTTCTCTCACCTGTAATAATCGGTGCGCGTGCGTGCGTGTATGCATGAGTACGTGTACATGCGTCCGTGCGTCCGTGCGCTCGTGCGCATGTATGAATCATGCAGGGGTGAACCTGGCCTGTGTTCGGGGCTTCGCTCACCTGTAATAATCGGTGCGCGCGCGTGCGTGTATGCATGAGTAAGTGTACATGCGTTCGTGTGTCCGTGCGCTCGTGTGCGTGTATGAATCATGCAGCGGCGAACCTGGCGTGTGTTTAGGGCTTCTCTCACCTGTAATAATCGGTGCGCGTGCGTGCGTGTATGCATGAGTACGTGTACATGCGTGCGTGCGGCCGTGCGCTCGTGTGCATGTATGAATCATGCAGGGGTGAACCTGGCGTGTGTTCGGGGCTTCTCTCACCTGTAATAATCGGTGCACGTGCGTGCGTGCGTGCGTGCGTGCGTGCGTGCGTCCGTGCGCTCGTGTGCATGTATGAATCATGCAGGGGCAAACCTGGCATGTATTCGGGGCTTCGCTCACCTGTAATAATCGGTGCGCGTGCGTGCGTGCGTGTATGCATGAGTACGTGTACATGCGTCCGTGCGTCCGTGCGCTCGTGCGCATGTATGAATCATGCAGGGACGAACCTGGCGTGTGTTTAGGGCTTCGCTCACCTGTAATAATCGGTGCACGTGCGTGCGTGTATGCATGAGTACGTGTACATGCGTCCGTGCGTCCGTGCGCTCGTGCGCATGTATGAATCATGCAGGGGTGAACCTGGCGTGTGTTTAGGGCTTCTCTCACCTGTAATAATCGGTGCGCGTGCGTGCGTGTATGCATGAGTACGTACGTGTACATGCGTCCGTGCGTCCGTGCGCTCGTGCGCATGTATGAATCATGCAGGGGTGAACCTGGCGTGTGTTTAGGGCTTCTCTCACCTGTAATAATCGGTGCGCGTGCGTGCGTGCGTGTATGCATGAGTACTTGTACATGCGTGCGTGCGGCCGTGCGCTCGTGTGCATGTGTCAATCATGCAGGGGCGAACTCGGCCTGTGTTCGGGGCTTCGCTCACCTGTAATAATCGGTGCGCGTGCGTGCGTGTATGCATGAGTACTTGTACATGCGTGCGTGCGTCCGTGTGCTCGTGTGCATGTGTCAATCATGCATGGGCGAACTCGGCATGTGTTCGGGGCTTCGCTCACCTGTAATAATCGGTGCGCGTGCGTGCGTGCGTGTATGCATGAGTAAGTGTACATGCGTCCGTGTGTCCGTGCGCTCGTGTGCGTGTATGAATCATGCAAGAGCGAACTCGGCCTGTGTTCGGGGCTTTGCTCACCTGTAATAATCGGTGCGCGTGCGTGCGTGCGTGTATGCATGAGTACGTCGTGTACATGCGTCCGTGCGTCCGTGTGCTCGTGTGCGTGTGTGAGTCATGCAGGGGCGAACCTGGCCTGTGTTCGGGGCTTCTCTCACCTGTAATAATCGGTGCGCGCGCGTGCGTGCGTCCGTGCGCTCGTGTGCGTGTGTGAATCAAGCGGGGGCGAACTCGGCCGGTGTTTAGGGCTTCGCTCACCTGTAATAATCGGTGCGCGTGCGTGCGTGCGTCCGTGCGCTCGTGTGCGTGTGTGAATCAAGCGGGGGCGAACTCGGCCGGTGTTTAGGGCTTCGCTCACCTGTAATAATCGGTGCGCGTGNTTCGCTCACCTGTAATAATCGGTGCGCGCGCGTTGTTACCGTTACACAGTGGCGAGTCACCTGCCATACCTGTTCCACATCGTGACAATACTGATCGCGACGGGACCACTCTACCTGCGCGCGTCAACGCACGGACTAGTCATCAACATCATACACTCGCTGTGCACCTGCTCCAAGCCCACGTTCAGCGGTGAGTACAAGCTCATGTTAGATCATGACATTCAGCAGTGAGTACAAGCTCATGTTAGATCATGACATTCAGCGGTGAGTACAAGCTCATGTTAGATCATGACATTCAGCGATGAGTACAAGCTCATGTTAGATCATGACATTCAGCGGTGAGTACAAGCTCATGTTAGATCATGACATTTAGTGGTTAGTCACATACAAGCTACGGTTATATGACTCCAAGCCTACGTTTAGCTGTGAGTGAGTGATAAAATACAAGCTTACAATATAACAGTGATACATATATTACAATATACATAATATGATAAAATACAAGCTAACGTTAGATGATATTCACGTGTGTGTGTGTGTGTGTATTGTGCATCTACAGAGGAGACACAGCGAGTTCTGAGGCTCAGCCTCACAGAGTTCTCACTGCCCAAGTTCTACCTGCTGTTTGGCATCAGTAAGGTGAAGTCAGCTGCCGTCACGGCCTTCCGGTCTAACTACAGGACAGGCGAGCGATCGACGGGCACCGACAGGTAGCGTGACGATTTATCTTATTAAGACAGGTAGCGTGACGATTTATCTCATTAAGACAGGTAGCGTGACGATTTATCTCATTAAGACAGGTAGCGTGATGATTTATCTCATTAAGACAGGTAGCGTGACGATTTATCTCATTAAGACTTTCTCTCTCTCTCTCTTTCTTCTCCCCTCCCGTCCCTCTGCTCTCTCTCTCTCCTCCCTCTCCACTCTCTCCCCCTTTTCCCCCTCCGCCGTCTCCCCTCTCCCCTCACTCCTCTCGCCCCTCTCTCTATCTAATAATTCTCTCATCTCTCTCTCTGCGTCTAGCTGGTCGCAGTTCGGATTGTCTCCCCGGAGAGGAGAAGATCACGCTCGCCCCTCTGAGGCTGGAGGTAGTCACTCCCTCCCTCCCTCCTCCCTCCTCTCCCCCTCTCTCCCTCCTTCCTCCCCCTCTCTCTATCCTATAACTTCTCTCTCTCTCATCTGCGTCTAGCTGGTCACGTTTGCGATTTCCTCCGGAGCAGGAGAAGATCACGCTCGCTCAGTGCAGGTAGTCAATCCTCCTCTCTTCCTCCTCTCACTCTCTCACTCTCTCCCACTTTTCCCCCTCCCTCCCTCCCCTCTCCCCTCCCTTCCTCCCCCTCTCTCTATCTATAATTCTCTCTCTCTCTCTCTGCGTCTAGCTGGTCGCAGTTTGCGATGTCTCCCCCGGAGCAGGAGAAGATCACGCTCGCTCAGCTGGAGGTAGTCACTCCCTCCCTCCTCTCCCCCCTCCCTCCCTCCCTCCTCTCCCCCTCCCTTCCTCCCCTCTCCCTCCCTTCCTCCCCCTCCTCTCTCTATCTATAATTCTCTCTCTCTCTCTGCGTCTAGCTGGTCGCAGTTTGCAATGTCTCCTCCGGAGCAGGAGAAGATCACGCTCGCTCAGCTGGAGGTAGTCACCGACGCGTTGCTGGAGATCATGGAGGCTTGCATGAAGGACATACCCAGCTGTCTGTGGCTGCAGCAGTGGATCGACTCCGCAAAGAGGTAGGGAGGGCTTCGTGTTGGCACGGCAACCGCACGCGCAATCGTCGTCAGCGCTGTCCGTGTCCGGTGACGCGGCGTTGACAGTTAACACAGCATTGACAGTTGACACGGCATTGACAGTTAACACGACATTGACAGTTGACACGGCATTGACAGTTAACACGACATTGACAGGTGACACAGCATTAACAGTTGACATGCTGTTAACACTTAACACGTCGTTAACACGGCATTGACAGTTGATGCGGCGTTGACACCTGTCTCTCTCTGTGTACTTGCAGCTTTGCGTTCCGCTACAACCCGTCGCTGCAGCCTCGGGACCTCATCGTGTTCGGCTGCATCAGCAAGACGATCACGGATAACGAGATCAAGCAGCTGCTGCGAATCCTCGTTAAGGCGCTCGAGTCCTTCAACGACATCATGCTCATCGACTCCATCGTCATGTGTCTCACGCGCCTCCAGCCCCTGCTCAGACCTGTGAGTATGTGTGCGTGCGTGCGTGCGTGCGTGCGTGCGTGCGTGCGTGCGTGCG